AGAGAGAGTAATTTGCATTGTGTAGATAATTTTGCCACCACTTGGTTCCTGTGGGCATGTTCCATGCTTAATGTGAGATGGGAATCTACAGATGGGTTTCAGTTATCTCTTATAGAGCAAGTATTTTGCCACATTTAAGGGTGAATTAAAAGATTTACCTGGCCAGGCACTGTGGCTCATGCCTGTAATCCCAGCACTTTGTGAGGCCGAGGTGGGCAGATCACTTGAGGTCGGGAGTGCAAGACCACTGGCCAACATGGTGAAACCCTGTATCTACTAAAAATACAAAAATTAGCTGGGCATGGTGGCGCGTGCCTGTAATGCTAGCTACTGAGGAGGCTGAGGCGGAGAATCGCTTGAATCTGGGAGGCAGAGGTTCCAATGAGCTGAGATCGTGCCACTGCACTCCAGCCTAGGCAACAGAGTGAGACTCTATCTTAAAAAAAAAGAAAAAGAAGAAGAAAAAGAAAAAAGAAAAAGGATTTACCCCATACAAGACTTTTGCGTTTCTGACTTAAACTTCTCTCCTACAAGTTTTATTCGTTCAGTGGATAATTACTCAATGCCTACTGTGTGCTAGGCATTGTTCTAGGCATGGATATACAACAGTGATGAGACCCCTCCCATGTCTGATGGAGCCAGACCTCTCACATATTATGGGCAAATGTAGACAATATGTAAACAAATAAATAACTCAGATAAATTCAGGTTGTAAAAAATATTATGACATAATAAAACAGTACAATGTATGGAGAGTGACTTGGGGAGAGGGACAACATCCCATTAGGAGATTAGAAGGCCTCTCTGTGAAAAAATAGTTGAGTTGAGACAAGTACAAGAAGGAGTTAGCCCTGCAAAGATTAGGAGAGAGGAATAGTTCATGTAGTGAGAATAGCAAGTATGAAAGTCCTGAGGGGAAGAAACATTAAGGAGGCATGTAGCTAGAACAAAATGAGCAACGGAAAAAGTAGAAGGAGATGAGCTCAGACAGAGGGGCAGAGATGAGATCATGTAGTACTTCTCAGTGCAGTTTTATTCTAACATCAGTGGAAGGTTTTGAGCAGGGTAGTTATATGGCTAACTTATTTTTAAAAGATCACTCTGTGAGGATAACCACTCGTGGCAAGGAAAGGGAGGAGTGAGAAAATGAGCAAGCAAGGAAGAAGCAACTGAAGTGGCACATGTGAGAGTTGCTAAAGACCTGGGCTATGATGGGTGAAGTGGGAATGGTGAGAAGGAAATTAATAGGAACTATATCATGAGGGTGGAGCCAATAGAATTTGCTGCTCAAGAGGATGCAGGAGTGAGACAAAAAGAGGAATCAAGGATGATTCTTGGGTTAAACCGATTGTGAGGCTGAGAATTTGTAGTTTTGATGAGTTCGCACGTGGCACTGATGTTGCTGATATAGGTTCATGCCTTGAGAATGGCTGTCCTGAGGCAAACTCTAGAAGGTAAAAGTCAGGCAGAGGAAGCGGCAGTAAAGGCCATTAAGAAGAAGCCAGTAGGCCAGGCACGGTGGCTCACACCTGTAATCCCAGCACTTAGGGAGGCCGAGGCGGGCGGATCTCTGAGATCAGGAGTTCGAGACCAGCCTGGCTAACATGGTGAAATCCTGTTTCTACTAAAAATACAAAAAATTAGCCAGGCATGGTGGCATGCACCTGTGATCCCAGCTACTCGGGAGGCTGAGGCAGGAGAATCACTTGAGCCCGGGAGGTAGAGGTTGCAGTGAGCCGATTTCACGCCATTGCACTCCAGCCTGGGCAACAAGAGGGAAACTCCTTCTGGAAAGAAAAGAGAAGAGGAGAGGAGAGGGGAGGGGAGGGGAGGGAAAGGGAAAGGGAAAGGGAAAGGGAAAGGGAAAGGGAAAGGGAAAGGGAAAGGAGCAGCAGCCAGTAAGGTATAGCAGAATAACAGGAGTGTGAAATCACTGAGTGTTTTGAGTGTATCAA